CCTCTCGAGGTCCAATCAGCTGGATTCTGTGACGACTTTACATAACTCCATTGTTCAATTTTCGTATACTGGTGCACAACGACGAGGCGGTTGGCTATATAGGTGCTATAGCGGGTCTCGATATTCCTGATGTAGTACAACACTACCATGGAATCTGTATAAAAGTTTACTTTACAGAAAAAATTAGGCAGGCTTCTCTGTAAGACTTCACTAAGCCTCACACTTAACACTGCTGCCGCCATCTCAAGCCTCGGTGTAGTGACCTGTTTGATAGGTGCTACCCTAGACTTGCTGTACAACAAAATACAATAGGGTCGTTCCTTCAAATAGCTGACTCGTGCGTACGCGACTGCTCCATAACCGATCTCTGACGCGTCACTGAACAAGTGCAATTCTACTTCAGCATCGGGTTCGTCGATTCTCTTCTTGATACCCCGAGCTACCGTAACATGACCTATTTGACGCATAAATTTTACCCAATTTAGCCACGCGGACTTGTATGGCTCGTTGAGAGGCTGATCCCAGCCTATTTGGGACTTACATAGTTTTTGCAAGAGGACCTTGGCAGGAAGACAGACTGGAGCAATTAAACCCAAAAGATCGAACAGAGAAGAAACTATAGATAGAATCCCTCTCGTAATCAGAGGCCTTTCAGGTGCATCGAAGTAAAACTTGAATACATCTTGTTTGAAATCCCATTCTACTCCTAGGGTTCGATGAGTGGTATCATAACTCGTTGACATTTCTATCAAAGACTCTTCCTTGCATAAATCAGGTAAGATAGTCCTTACTTCCTCTGAGTCGTTGACCCACTTCTTTAGTTTAAAACCTCCTCTACATAGTAATTCCCTTATCTGCTTAACGAAGCTCCTTGCTTGATCACAGGTGGGAAAGGATATTAAGCAATCATCAACATAGAAATTATTCTTGACAGCATCTACTACATAACCATCATAACCGTCAGAGAATCTTTGGGCTGTTTTATTCAAGGCGAAGTTTGCACAAAACGGTGATGATGTGGCGCCAAATGGATGAGATGCCATTTGAAACTCCGATGGTTTCTTCGACATGTCTCCCTCCTGCCACCAAAGGAATCTTAAGGCTCCTCGATCAGGCTCAGGGACATTCACTTGCATGAACATTTCTTCAATATCTGCAGAGATTGCAACTGCTTCCTTGCGAAAACGCAATAATATACACACTAACTCGGCAGTGGTGTCGGGTCCTTGATAAATCATATCGTTTAAAGAAACACCTGAAAACTTGGCGGCACAATCAAGGACCATCCTAAGTTCTTCTGGCTTTTTCGGATTTAACACCGCATGATGAGGTAAATACCACTGGGGACGATAATTCGGTTGCAACTGTGGTTCAGGGACCTTCTCTGCATAGCCCTTTGTAAAATTACTTTCAATACTTTTGTTATACCTTGCGTGCAGATTGTCATCCTTTAACAATTTACGCTTCAAATTCTGTAATCTACTGTTGGCTTCTTCGTAATTTCCCACCTTCATATTTGAATTCTCCTTCCATGGTATAGGGACTACGAAATGGCCGTTGTCGAAGCGAGTGCCCCCTTCTACAATCTTTATAGCTGCCTTATCTTCTACCGATAATGATTTATCACTTGAATAAGCGTCGGAAAACTCTGCGTCATAAAACTTACGTATCTCGTTCTCTAATGTCTGTATCTTACTGGTATGATTAACAATTCTTTTCCCATATTCCGGATACGATGCAGGTCCGAAGACCGTCCACCCCAGCAACGTTTTCACAGCGTACAGGCTTTTTCGTCCGCCCAACCGCTGATCTAACACCCAGTGTGCTTCGGGCACGTCGCAACCAATCAACAGCAGAACTTCTTCAGAGTCTAAGTTATCTATTGGTACATCCCTTAAATGTGGCCACTTAACTAGGTTGTTCACTGCCGACCTTGTTGGCTTATGACCCGGTATACTTGCCGCAATCAGAGCTCCTTCGATCGTCACATGTTCGGACCGATCTAAAGAATATACCTCGAAAGGAGTTCTTGTGGCCGTCATCGTCCTATTACTTTTCACAGTCCCTACTACCACTGACGCTCGGTCTTCCTTCAGTCCGAGATGCCTCAAACAGCTCGATTTTATCAACGTCACATCAGACCCGTTATCCAACAAGGCATAACCCACCATTTCGGCATTTCCCGCCACCAACCGTACGGAAATCATTCCTAAGCACACTTGGCTACTTAGAGATTTAGTAAATCAACAGCAATTCTGGGTTTCAGACTTATTTACATCGTTGCTTGCCGTGTTAGTGTGCAGCAGAGCGTGATGTTTCTTCTCACAACTGTCAACGTTACAGAGCCTTGACATCTTGCATTCATTGACTTTATGTCCTTGTCGAAGACAGACAAAACAGATACCCTTGCTTTTAGCGTGGGACCATCGTTCTTGAACTCTAAGCGCTAAGAACTGTGGACACTTATAAATAGCATGGTCGTAGAAACACATAGTGCATTTGGTTTTCGCTGTCGAACTATTCCCCTGCTCTGATTGCACGTGACAATTCGTCTTTACGTTTTGTCCTTTTCTTGAACGATTCGCTAACCGTCCAAATCTACTACAAGCTACTCTCGCACGCGAAGCGATAAACTGAGTGAGTATAAGATCCAAACTACGTTTGGACTGCTGGACAGCTGTCTGGATGAGTTAGATACGCGCCCTCGCCCGATTGAAACCAAAACAAAGTAATTGGGTAAGATAGCGGTTCTATAATTTATCATAAATTTAAGTGTACATTATTACCTAAACAAATATAACCACTCAGCTATCCAACCAATAATTGTTTAATTGATCAACTCTAAACTATAATAAATAAGAACGTTGATAAAGGATGCAAGAAAATTACCAATCACCACAAATAAATGTTATTCTATCCTGTCTGGATAGATCACGTACAGATTCGTTCAAAAGGTAATACTTGGTCGCTCTATAACCCAGAGTGTTTTCAATTCTGGAAGAGTGCTTCAATTCACAACAAAAATGCACAGTCCCAGTCAACGCAGGTCAAGCAATCACAAACAGGAACAAACCAAAATGGCTGCCGCCAAGACTTAGTATAAAGTAAAACAACATAAGTGCAGTTCGGGAAGAAGCATAGGGAATTAGTGAAGGTGTGGTAAAAACGAAAACTATAATAAAATACAAATATTAACAATTCAACTATAGTCAAAAAGTTAACATTGTACGACTAAAAGAATCAATAGGAACAAAGTGCAAGTATATACATGGAGGGATTTTCACGAACACACAAAGCATTCAAAATGGATCTTACACCGGCCCCCAAAATCCCTCCATATCACACAAGCTACCTTGATGCCTATGGTCATGGTTCATTATGTAGCATATGACACTATAGGAATGAATAGGACTTACAACAGTACGCCTACTCGACCTACCTACATTGATAATACGAGGAACTAATTCGAGCCTTCAAGGAGGCATAATCTACGTATATCTCTCCTGACTAATCCACCGTTCGTACGAACAACCACTGTTCTAACTCTTCCGTCGTCATCTATTTCACAATCTTCAACTACTCCTAAGGGCCATTTTCCACGCGTCGATATGTCCGAAGCCACGATCACTACATCCCCTTTCTGAAAATTGCGGTGTTCAACTAACCACTTTTGACGTTTTTGTAGGGATGGTAAATACTCTCTTAACCACCTTTTCCAAAACACATTAGCAAGATGATTAACCTGTTTCCAACGTTTGTCATATTTATCTCTGATGCTACCTTCTTCGACTATTCCGTCACATTCTCTCAATAACAACAAACTGTTTGGCGACAAAGCTAGTTTATCGTTAGCATCTTGAACGACCGGAGTTAAGGGTCGATCGTTCAATATCCTTTCAATCTCAATCAAATAAGTGTTTAAAGTCTCATCGGTTAGAGTCTGCTCTCTAGTTATCAGCAATAACAGTCGGCGTATGGACCTAATCATCCTTTCCCAAACCTCACCCCTGTGGCTGGCTGAGGGCGGGTTAAAATGCCACTGAATCTGCCTAGCTGACAGTTCTTTGTCTATTTTCTGTTGATTCAACTGTTGCACAAATCTCCTTAACTCAGAGACCGCACCCACAAAATTTGACCCATTGTCACTGTAAATTTCTGCAGGTTTCCCTCTTCTTCCAATAAAACGTAGCAAGGCCATTATAAACGAATCAGTATTCAAACTGTGTGTCAGTTCAATATGTACTGCTCGGGTTTGCAAGCAAGTAAATATACATCCATACCTTTTTTCTAATGATCTTCCTCTCTTGACAACAAGTGGTCCAAAGTAGTCTACTCCCACGGCTGAGAAGCTATACCATCCTGGTTGAACTCTACAAGCTGGAAGCGGCGCCATCAACTGTTGCCCTGTATTCATCGTAAACCGCCGGCATGTCACACACATACCTATCACTCTCTTAACCGTGCTGGTTGCCTTCATTATCCAATACCATTTTCGAATTATAGCCAATACTTGGGACGTTCCTGCGTGCCCTTGTTCTAGTTGTTTTTGTAAGCCTTCTAAAGATATTCCATTGATGACATCTACTGGATCGACTGAATTACCCAAAGATTTACTCATTTTTTTGCCATGAGCATCACGAACCATAGCATGTAAATAGACCGTATGAAATGGTAATTGTCCCATTAATTTCAAACCAATCATAACCATACGTGCAACCGAGAAAAATATAATATCATGCCCAGTTTCTAATAAACTACCAGGATAATAAGCCTTTAAATCTGGTATTTGTTCAGGCCAACCAAATCCAGATAATAGAAATAATTGTGAAGAGAACCACGTATCTAATACATCATTATCTTGGTTTAAAGTTAAGTTATCTGGTGAACAATGGAAATTATCACAGGCCTTTTGAAGTGCTTCTTCGATTGTATGACCAACTACCCATGAATTATGATCTGTAGGATCTAAAACTTCTAAATTATCTACGCCAGGACGTCGAATCGAAACATGAAAAGCAGGAATATGATGTCCTCACCATAATTGTCGAGAAATACACCAATCCTGACAATCTTTAAGTTAATTATTCCATGTACGAATATGGAAACTATGAATAATACGTGAGCGGCCTTCAGATACCTCCTTCATTGCCGCATTAGCCATGTCCTTACAACGTAGGTACCATCGAGGTTTCAACAATGGTTCAACAATATCTTTGCTTCGAGAACACATCGGTACAACCACAGGATTATCTTTCTCACCTCTATACACGCCTAATTCCACAAGAGCTTTCTGAACAACATCTCGAGCGACGAATCTTTGAAGTCCTGCAAATCTGGGACCTGTTTGACGCATAAATTTTACCCAATTTGGCCACGCGGACTTGTATGGCTCGTTGAGAGGCTGATCCCAGCCTATTTGGGACTTACATAATTTTTGCAAGAGGACCTTGGCAGGAAGACAGACCGGAGCAATTAAACCCAAAGGATCGAACAGAGAAGAAACTATGAATAGAATCCCTTTCATAGTCGGAAGCCTTTCAATACCATTTGTATACTTGATATACAGAATGTCATCTTTCAACAATCTACGCTTCAAACTCTGTAGTCTACTGTTTGCCACTTCATAATTCCCCCCTCCCATATTTGGGTGCACTTTCCATGGTATAGGGACTCCAAAATGACCATTTACGAAGCGTGTGCCACCTTCCACAATCCTTATAGCCGTCTTGTCGTCTACTGATAATGATTTATCATTTGAATAAACATCAGAAAACTCTACATCATAAGGTTTACGTATTTCGTTCTCCAAAGTCTGTAATTTACTGGTATGATTAACTACTCTTTTCCTATATTCCGAACATAACGCAGGTCCGAAAACCGTCCACCCCAGCAACGTCTTCACAGCGTACGGGCTTTTTCTTCCGCCCAACCGCTGGTCTAACACCCAGTGTGCTTCTGGTATGTCGCAACCAATCAACAGTAAAACTTCTTCAGAGTCTAGGCTATCTATTGGTACATCACTTAAATGCGGCCACTTAACTAGGTTGTTCATTGCTGACTTTGTTGGCTTATGACCTGGTATACGTGCTACAATCAGAGCTCCTTCAATCGTAACATGTTCAGATCGATCTAAAGAATATACCTCGAAAGGCGCACTCGTGACCTTCATTGTTCTATTACCGCCCACAGTCTCAACTACCACTGATGCTTCGTCTTCGCTCAGCCCGAGAGACCTCAAACAGTTTGATTTTATCAGTGTCACATCAGAACCGTTGTCCAACAGAGCGTAACCCACAATCTCGGCTTTTCGCGATTTCAACCGTACGGGAATCATGCCTAAACACACTTGACTGATTAGTGATTTAGTATATCCGCAACAACTCGAGGTACCAGGTTTCTCACTCTCGCTGTGTAACAAAGAATGGTGTTTCCTTTCACAACCCTCAACGTTACAACGTTTTGCCAGCTTACATTCACTAACTTTATGCCCTTGCCTGAGGCAGACAAAACAGATGCCATTAACCTTCGCGTGAGACCATCTCTCTTGAACGGTAAGCGCTAAAAATTTTGGACATTTATAAATAGCATGGTCTAGGGAACACACACTGCATTTAGCTTTCTCTTTCGAATTATTCGCCTGCTCCAATTGCAAGTGACAATTTGTCTTTACGTTGTGTCCCTTTCTCGGACGATTCGCTAACCGTCCAAACCTACTATTAGCTACCCTCGCGCGGGATGCTATAAATTGTGTAAGCTCGTCAAAGGTTGGTTCTCTATTATCTTCAGTCAATTCATCTACCCAGTCCGCCCATTGGGCTTGCATAACTTGAGGTAAGAGTCCTACTATTCTCTCTAAGGTAATTAAAGAATTTAAGTCGGCAGTATACTTCATCTGTTTCAAAACCATAGAACAATTTTCCATCCTAATAGCTAGATTTGTTAGTTGCTCAGGATCACTGTAATCAACATTTGTAGTTTTGAATAAGTCCTCTAAAGTCTCCCGAGCGATTACATGCGCCTGTCCGAACAACCGTTTTAGAATTTCTTTGGCCTTTTTGTAACCAAAAGAGGCTTCCAACATAACACAACCCTCAATGGCTGTTTTCGCTTTACCCTTACAATAATGTATCAAATAAAGCAAGCGTTGACCATCATCCTTGACCCTTGATTCCACATAGGTCTCAAACTCCCTTAAAAACTTCCAGTAACCTCTTGGTTGACCGTCGAAATAACCTAACTCAACCTTTGGTAACTCTGGACCTATGAAAAACGCCGACGGCCTTACGTCTTTTGCTTGCTTCACGTCTAAATTAAGGTTTTCTATGCCATCTGACATTATATCACAACTAGATTCACTATAATTACAATCGTCCCTATTAGAATATGAACCATGACACATAGAAGCATCAGAAGGCACTTGCTTTGATTGAGGGGATCCATCCTTTTGTTCATCTCTTTTAACATCCACAAGCCTTGGACTTAATTTCCTTCGACGATTGTTTGGCATCGAAAGCGAACGACCAGATATTCCCAGAGACGATGATTGGAATCAACGAAACGAAAGCCAAACGAATTCGACCAAATATTTGTTTAGAACTATAAGATCCAAACTACGTTTGGACTGCTGGACAGCTGTCTGGATGAGTTAGATACGCGCCCTCGCCCGATTGAAACCAAAACAAAGTAATTGGGTAAGATAGCGGTTCTATAATTTATCATAAATTTAAGTGTACATTATTACCTAAACAAATATAACCACTCAGCTATCCAACCAATAATTGTTTAATTGATCAACTCTAAACTATAATAAATAAGAACGTTGATAAAGGATGCAAGAAAATTACCAATCACCACAAATAAATGTTATTCTATCCTGTCTGGATAGATCACGTACAGATTCGTTCAAAAGGTAATACTTGGTCGCTCTATAACCCAGAGTGTTTTCAATTCTGGAAGAGTGCTTCAATTCACAACAAAAATGCACAGTCCCAGTCAACGCAGGTCAAGCAATCACAAACAGGAACAAACCAAAATGGCTGCCGCCAAGACTTAGTATAAAGTAAAACAACATAAGTGCAGTTCGGGAAGAAGCATAGGGAATTAGTGAAGGTGTGGTAAAAACGAAAACTATAATAAAATACAAATATTAACAATTCAACTGTAGTCAAAAAGTTAACATTGTACGACTAAAAGAATCAATAGGAACAAAGTGCAAGTATATACATGGAGGGATTTTCACGAACACACAAAGCATTCAAAATGGATCTTACAGTGAGTTCGTGAAACGTCGGCTCTCTGTCATCTGTCAATTTATCCACCCAGTCCGCCCATTGGGCTTGCATAGGTTGAGGCAAGAGTCTCACTATTCTTTCCAAAGTAACTAAAGAATTTAGATCAGAGGTATAATTCATCTGTTCCAAGACCATAGCACAGTTTTCCATTTTAATAGCCAAGTTTGATAATTCCTCCGCGTCAGTATAGTCAAAATTTACAGCATTGAATAAGTCTTCTAATGTTTCCCGAGCGATTACATGAGACTGTCCGAACAAACGTTTTAAGATTTCCCTTGCTCTCTTGTAACCCGAAGATGCTTCCATCATGACACAACCCTCAATAGCTGCTTTTGCCTTGCCCTTACAGTAGTGAATTAAATAGAGCAAACGTTGGCTATCATCAGTGACTCTTGATGCTACATAGGTCTCGAATTGCCTTATAAACTTCCAATACCCTCTTGCCTGACCATTGAAATAACTCAATTCAACCTTTGGTAGTTCTAGACCAACAACAGGCGTTATGGGCAAAACGCTCTTTCCTGTTAATTCAAGCCTTGCTTCTCCTTTAAACTAAGATTTTTCACGTCATCTGTCATCGAATTAAGACTAGAGTCACTACCATGATAATCAACCTTATTCGAGTCTGAACCATGACACTTAAGGACATCAAAAGGTACTTGCTTGATAATAAGGGATTCTTCATAAACATCAACGAACTTTGAGTTTGATTTCCTTCGACGATTAGTTGGCATCATAAGCGAAATGACCAAATATTTCCAGAAACGATAATCGAAATCCGCGAACGATTGCCAAACGACTTCGACCAATTAATATTTGTTTAGAACTGTAGAATCCAAACTACGGTTTGGATAGATGAATAGCCGTCCAGGTACGTCAGACACGCGCTATTTACCCGATTACTTGTTTTGATTTTGACGGGCAAGGGCGCGTGTCTGACGTACCTGGACGGCTATTCATCTATCCAAACCTTAGTTTGGATTCTGCACCTACATCATACCATTCTCAATGCTTATACCCTGATTGATAAACTATACTTTATACTATAGTCAACAGAAACACTGCATTGATGCCTTACCCACAGTCCATAACTTGTAACTGCCTGATAAACTTGTTAAATAATACTTATAAAAATAGTGCTTTTCAACAGGTTGTGAAACACAGAGGACTGTGTGAGGTACGACATACATCCAAAAAAGGCTTAAATGAACCTAGCATCACAAAAGGATGGATGGTGGAATTACTGACCAGCAAGCATTGATGGTGAGGGCGAGGACTTCAATCCATCTGGTTTGTGGGGCAGAACATTTTGTACGTATCAGGCTCTTTATGTTTGAGGACAAGTCAATCAATCTGTGATATAGATTGTATTCCTACGATCACCACTCAGACTCATGTTTCCAATTTTATGCTGGATTAGCTATTCTACTAAGAAAACATACTAATTCGGACTTTCACACTAGGATTGTGTGGCTGGCATCGGATGAACAAAAATAAGAGAAAGAAAAAATTAGACAATAAAAGATATAATCATCAGTATTCCTAACACGTTACCGTCAATATACAAACTCCCTTCTAAGAAACCGCTTTCTTTGTACCAACCTGGACTTCTCTCTCTTCATGTGAGCTTACTCCAGCTTGTTAAATGTCACAACTCATTGTTCTTTATTACTACATCCTCTTACATGGAGCCTCTGATTTCATTTCACTCTAACAAGAGTTAATATGAATTTAATTTATTGTACCTCTGTCTGTTCTACTACACAATGTTAAGCAACGTTTGGCGTTCATATCCAAGTACCTTGCCGCTCTTCTGTTTCTCTTTTTTTCTTCAAAATCTTGCTCTGAGTGCACAGCTATGGAACTTCTGACACCTGGAACAAACTTGACGTACGCGTCCCCTCAAGGTCATTGTTTACAACAAGCGCTTTACGAGTCTACTTTACAACAACTATAAACTTAATAAGTTGGGAAGCATCCTGTGAACCAACAAATGTTGTAATTTATAGATCATGCCTGTAAAAAATGACGTGTACCTGCTCATGCAGAACAATGTTATTATTATTATTGTTAATATTAAAGTGAATCCAAATCAGAGTTCATTTTGTGTATTTAGTTTTGAATGTCTTGGATACCTAGTTGATGGTAATGGTTTGAGATCAGAAACGAAACGACTAGCTCCACTGAAAAATGCACCGTCTCCAAAAAATCTTACGGAACTACGTTCACTAGTGAGTGCTCTTCAATACTATTCCCGTTTTATTCCTAATTTTTCTTGTCGTGCAAATTGTTTATTTAATATTTTGA